GTCTTAAAGCGCTCAATAACATTTACAGTTCTAATCTACTTAACACTAGAACGCCCAAAGCGGTCATTTTGACCGTTACTGTTTTTTTTTAAAATCTGATACTTAAAAATGCGTTTGAATTCAAAAACGAATTAAAAATTCTGCAAAAAATAATTTTTGTGGGACAAATTAAAAGTTATGATATAATTTGTTTTTAAGTAAATTGTATGCAGTTTGTTTTATTAAGGATAAAAATCACAAAACAGTCAAAATGACCGCTACGGGCGTTCTAGTGTTAAAAGTTCGACAAATCTCGACAGAGACGACATCAATTAATCAGAACAACTCACTTAAATAAACAAACAAGACTGCATATCGTAAAGTGAAGAGAAGATGTTCACTTGGAGAAATACAAGAGCGTTGAATTTTGATATGAACTTCAATCATTTGAAATACAAGAAATATGATTTATTTGCACAAAATATACACAAATATAGGGTTACATAAATATGACGAAATAATGATTAAAACAACAACAACATCAAATCAATATACAATTATGAACATATACTGTAAGTTTATTATTGATGTTACTTTTTCGACGGCGTATAAAACGCAAGGTGACTTTTTTACGCGACAATTAGACTACAAAACAACGAAGACTTTACTTTTAATGATAAAAAAAGTAAAACAACTTTATTTCATGTATATTAAAACTTGTCGACAGTAATAATATAATAGTATTGCTCTTGGTCATCTAATTTAACGAACGAAGAAAGAAAAATAAAAAAGTGTTAAATAAAATAAAAGGTGAAATAATGATGATAAATCACTCGGAGCAACGATATGTGTTTGTTTGCTAGGTTTATTTTTACATAATATACACTTTTTCTGCTTGATTCAAATTGTATGTGTCATTTGTTCTTGGACAAATTATTTTACCATTGTTTTCCGAGGCCATTGATTTCAACGCCTAAAACAACGAAAAGAATAATGCTTATTCATATTAAATTAGATAGTCTTCTATAATAAAAACTAGTTTGTGTCAGCCATCTCTCAATCTCTAACAAATTCTACCCTAATTTTATACTCTAATTATTAATTTGCAACGATATGATCAGTATTTCAGATTTCTAGAAGAAGAAAAAAACAGTATTGCATACCTTTGATCCATAAACATAACCATTTGGCAACATCAAAGGTGGATTTGATTCATTAATTGGGTCACGATTATGTGCACAAATTAATTTTGATACCGAACAATGTGCATAAGGTAATATCTTTGCAATCATTTTCAAATGTTGATTACATACGGGACAATTGGGATTTTTAATAGCTGTTACTTTATCAAAACATGTACTAAACAGATAATTAGGAGTTAAAGAAAAAAACAGAAATATCGTTGTATATTTCGTGAACAACGGTCATTAAATGCAAAAAGGATACGGTGTTTTCAATGCTGATAAACCAGTTTGTAATACAGCTATAAATTTACTTTGCATACCCATCTGATGTAGTTTCAAATTATCGACACGAAATTGTTCAACTAATTTTTGCCAACGAATCTCGTCTAATATACTCTAAAAGAACAGCAGTACTATGAGCAAAGATTCGAATTTAAATAGATCATTTCGCGACTTCATTGGAGCACTGCCTTATGAGAGATAAAATAACTGTATAATGTATAAGGCTCATTCGAACGATTATGTGAAACGTTCTAAAGAGCTCGATGCATTCTGCATACTTACTTGATAACATGTATTCGATTGTCTCAATACAAGTAGACCCATAGCCATTTCAAATTCACTTATATGATTATCCGGTATTTGTGTTAAATGTCTACGAGCATGTTGTACAGCTTCTTTCAGCTGCTTTGCTTTAATAAATTCGATAAATTCTTGTAAACGTATACAAAAATCTAATGTGCACTAAAAAACAAATGAGAACATTTAAAAACGTGTACGAATATCAAAACGAAAATGATAATTTCGTACACCATTTTTCTTTAATTTTGTTTTATTTTCATTAAACCACGCTAAACATTTGCTTGTATCACGGTTCATCAGTGAATCTTCAATTTCTTTGGCTGCTAGATATACTTCGGAATTAACCAAATTCTAAATAAACAATGACAGACGATATGTTGGACACATTCTTTAAACGATAGATAGAACAAAGTTTCTCTAATCATATTTATTTCATCAACATCTATCGTATTACTGCGTCCAACGCACTAGAGATACTTTAAAGAATAGAATTATTAGGGAAAGTCACGAAGTTGATCTCAGACTATCCACTGTATGGAAAAAACAAGTTTTTCCTGAAACTTTTGCTAAATACGTTCTCCTCTCGGGCAGAATACGCACATACAGACTTACTTGAACACCGGTTGCTTTCGCCAAAGCTATTGCTGTTTCATAACATTTTGTTCGAAATAAAAAGTCAACTAGCACTCTATCATAACGTTGTTTCCGCCATATTTCCGTTTTTGATAGTGAACTTTTATCATATTCTTTTAGATGATCAACACGACGTTTTACATTTTGTAAACATTCTAATTCATCATCTTTTAATTCACGTGCCTAAATGTTTTTAACTATAAATATCTATGCAAACACTCTTAATAATTATTTACTTTTCGTTTTAGTGTCATACATTTTTCTAGACAAAATTTTAAACATTCTAATGTCGCTTCAGGATTTGTTGTTGTAAAAGTATTTTTTTTCTCTAAATCATTGACACTAGATATTAATAATGCAGAATCGCGATCAATTTGTTTTTGAGCGTGACGATAATGTTTATTTAAATGTTCATATGGAACCTAAAATAGATAAATATTTATATAATCAAATATAACTTAACTACGAGAAATACAAAATATGTTTACCTTAATAGTTGCATGTTCAAGTACGCCAACATCGTCCGATATCATGGTGAAGATTACTTTCCGTTTAAAGAAGAATAAAAATCTTCGAAGAAAAAAATTCTCTCCAGATCTGTTCTATAAGATGATTCCAGAGGACAAAGAAGAGAGGTTAGTTATAAGAGAAAAGTAACAAATACAATGCAACTTCTTTTCTATCTTTCAAATGGAAAAATCTAAGATTGTAAGTACTAATGAGATGACCAAAAATTAAAGGTTTACTTTCACTTTATAAACTGTTTCAAGTTTTTATATATTTATTGCGAAAAAAGAGAAAAAAATTACTTTGCAGTGCCATGAGAACAAAGAGAAACGATACTTTCACTCACACAGATACGTATACATATGTATATAATATAGAACTCAACAAACACAAATATATATTCATCGAAAATAAGTAAGTCTATAATATAGATCGAAGACAGGCATGAACAAAGGATAGGGACTTTAACATTTGTCAATACACAGCAATAGAGAGACACACACAAGCAATATACAGTGTAACGTGGCAATGGAATGAATCAAAATAATAACAACAATAAATAATTCATTAACACCACATAACCTATTCGAGAGAGTGTGAAACAAATAAAAAAAACCATTGATCTCCTGTATCGAAATTTTCTTTTTTGAAAAGAAAATAATCACGTGATACATTCATAACCAAAAAGCTACTTATTTTTTGGTTCTAGCCAAACACTCGTTCTGTTTTTCATTCCTGTACACAAAAATAAAGACTTCCTAATACAGTTATTGAAAAGAAATTTACATCTACGTATAAATGAGAAAGAAAAAGAGAGAGCTACAGAAACAAACGTGTCATGTAATCACTTTTTGATATTGGTCCTGAAAGAGTTGTTAGGACATTGGTAAGAGAAAAAAAATGAAAAGTTAACTTTCCATTAAACGCGATTAAATAGCGAACAAACAAAAAAAAGAAAAAAATACATGCCATACACTAATTTGTTTAATGAATACCACTGCTATCGGACGTATTTGGATCGGTTGTCACACTCGTTGAAGAAGCTGATGGATCTTTTTTGATTTCATTTCCACCAATTGAAACAGGAACAACCACTGATGGAGAAGACATAAGACCAGCTGCTGCTGCGGCAGCCGCTGCTTGTTGTTCCATAAGAGCTGATGGCGACAAAAATGGGGCTGCTAATGGAAATAACGATGACAATGAGGTACCATTCAAACCATCATAAGCTGATCCTAAATGGAAGAATAAGAGAACAATCTATAAACCGCGCGTAATTCCAGAAGTATCAGTCGAATTAACCATGATGCCACAGTATGGGTTTAACTTAGATTAATTCTCAGGAAAAATAAGCTAGCTCTAAGCTAATAATCAATATTCATACTTTATAAATCTCCATTAAGAGCCATTAAAGATAGCCACGACATAACGTGCTCGATCGATCATCTAAGATTTCTTCCATAGCAAGGGCTTCTTTAAACCAAACAGTTTCATGAATTTTGGCGAAAACCACAGGTCCTAAAGTTGTTGAGTTGCGGAGATATTCAATTTTTGCAAAGAGTTCGAAAACGCACAAATTCTGGCAATTAAGGAAACGGTCAATTTAAACTACGTACAACTCTGTAACGACACAGTACTTAGACTTAAGAATTCTATCATAACTACTAGATAGTGTCTACTACAAATTCATACAACCGCGAGCTTCAGACATGCTTTCGTTCTTTTACAGTAGATGATGCCGTGAGAGCCCAAATCATCGATCCGGTCGTTTTGGAGAAAGATTCTCTCGGAAAATGGATCAAAATTCTCACTCCCTATGGTATTGTTGGAGTACACCAAGTGCACTATCATGAACTATGGTAGAATTTTTGGTATCTTTTGAAATCCTCTGGAAAAAACAGGCGAGGTTTCTAGAAAACCAGATCATGAAATTTTTCAATTGAATTTGGGATTCAGCCATTTTATAGGGCATATCAAGTTACACATGTCAAGCTATTTTTATAACTACTCGATTAATTTTAACTAATTTTCCAACACTAGAGTATTTGCATGCACATATATATATATATATATGCTTTTAAGCAATACTTGAACTAAAGGTTTCTGATTCCATCAAAACTAATCGAATAGTTATAAAAATAGCTTGATATGCTCTATATAACGGCTGATGTGAAAATTCGATTGAAAAAATTTCATGATCTGGTTTTCTAGAAACCTTTTCCACAGATTTTTAAAGATCTCAAAAATCCCATCATTGCTCATAGTACACTTGGTGTATTCCAACAAAAACATAGGGGGCGAGAGATTCGCCCCATTTTTCGGGAGAAAATCGTCGTCCAACATGTACAGATCGTTGATTTGGGCTCTCAGAGCGTCCTCTACTGTAAAAGAACGAAAACATGTCCGAAGCTCGCGATTGTGTAAATTTGTAGTAGACACTATCTAGTGTTTATGATAAAGTTGGTTAGTCGAAGTCATATGTCATTACGAAGTTACGCGTAGTTTAAGCTGACAATTTTTCAAGATGCCGGAATATTCGTTTTTGGGGAGTTTTTGTAAAAAATTAATATCTCCGCAAAACAACAACTTAGGACCTCCAGTTTTCGCCAAAATTCATGAAAATGTTTGCTATAAAGAAGCTCCCTATGTTGGAAAAAATTTAAGATGGTCGATTGATCAGCATTATGCGATAATAGCTCGTGGCTTATCTTTAATGGTTCTTAAATAAACTCAACATCTTTTCCGCGTATCGATTCTTTCCTTTTCGTTCTATGAACATCCAGGGGGTTAAACAAATAAAGACTATAAAGAAATATTCCCAGTATTCCAAAGATCGACAAAATACATACACTTACTTGGAACATTTAAATAATCACGATTAACACAATAACGTAATGCGCTTGGTAGTTTTCCTGTAATACCACGTCGAACTTCATGGGCTGCACATTCACGAATTTCTTGTGCACTCCCTTCACTATACCACGATGTTCGAGGTGTAACAATTAAATTAACAGCGTCTTTCAATGGACCTAAAGAGAACACATGTTCACTTAATGTATTCCAATCAAACTTACTCTCCTTACCAGCTTGAATATTGTATGGCTCATTTTCTAGTACGTCTAATGCAGCACCACGTATTCTTCCATCTTTTAATGCTGCTGCGAGCGCTGTCTCATCAATTAACCCGCCCCGAGCGACATTAATTAAAAAGGCACCTAAAAATAAATAAATGAAAGAAAGTCAATAACGCCATAAAAAATACTGATGATAACACCAGGATGTATAAATTTATACTCAAGATGAAATATACCATCAAAGAAAACAAGCATATCGTCACTCAAAATTCATATAATGCAGTTCAGGACATTTTGTGCTAATGCGCCGATTTGTTCCTAATTTTCTTTCCAATGTGTATTATGCTCAAACGAAATGATTCATCTTCATCACTCCTCTTTGTAGGAACAAAAAGAACATTCGATATGTTAACCGTACCGATCAGAGTAAACAAACTATTTTTTCTCTAAGAAAAGATTTACTGTTTATATAAAATAAAAGTAGTCAAGTACTTTCATTTTTCTTACAGACTGTAACCAAAGAAGGATCGGGAATATTAAGTTTGATAGAAACAAACGGAACGCATCTTTTGCTGAGACAGCGTTTTCAATACCGTTAGCTCAACAATTATTTTTTAGCTTCAAACGGATACGTTCTCTAAAATTGACTATCATACGTACCAGGTCTCATTTGTTTAATTGTAAAATCATTTATCATGTGATGATTGTGTTCATTTAACGAACAATGAAGTGTAATACAATCACTTCTGAATAGCAAATCCTGTAATGTAAATACTCTATTGATACCTAGAAAAGAGAACATTCTCGTTTAGCACTGATGAAAAAAAACACTAATTTTTGTGTACCTAATACTTTATCAATACCATCTGATAAATAAGGATCGAAAAAAAACACATTAAAACCAAACACTTTTGCTCGTATAGCAACAGCCATTCCAACTTGTCCTAAACCAATAATACCTAAAGTTTCGTTTCTTATTCTCGCACAACCAGTGGCTGATTCACGTATTTGTTCTGGCGTTGATATACGTTTGCCTAAAAGTTCAAAAGACATTGTTATTTGAGTTGTTTATCAACAATAGCAAATTTCTATCTTACCATCTTTAACTTGATTTGCTAAAAATATTGTACGTCTGTACAAATTTAATATCATACTAAGTGTCGTATCAGCTACTTCTTCCACACAATAACTTGGTACATTACAAACAGCTATTCCTACAAAAGACATCAGCAATAATACTTTAAAAAAATACTTAATACAATAATATATTTGAATACTTACCCTGTTCACCCGCTGCTTTAATATCGATATTATCAAATGCACTTCCAATTCTTACAATTAATTTTAGTGCTTTAAATTTAGCTAAATCTTCTTTTTTCAACGTGATTGCATGCCAAACAAGTGCAGCTGTTGCTTCATTCAGCACCTGGAAGAAGAGAGTATTTCATATCGAAATGATAGTTATTAATGTATGTTGTCTAAATACCTTTTCATGTATTTCAGCTGTTGATTGGGCATCGCAAAATGCAACTGTAGCTATATCTTTTAATATAGGCATTTCTGTCGAACAATCTCGACCATCTAGTAGAGCCACGAGCGGCCGTGTTTGTCCTGGACCGTTCGGCATGGGCATTCGACTTGGAATTGCTAAAGTGATTAAAAGTGGAAAAATGGTTGATACTAGAAAAATAATAGCAGCTGTATAAGATACGTACTGGATAGAAGACTGTTATTTTCTATGCGAGGTTTTTTTGCTTGAATGCTAGGGCTAGACATGCATATATCTACAATGCAAACAGCAACCCTACATGAATCTAAACCGAATCATGAGGAAAAAATAGCATCAGTCGAATTAGACTCTAACTCTGTACTTCTACCATTCATGTCGTTTGTATTCATATTGAATTAGTAGAACAATAGCCATCATATGCATAATTTGTACTGAACGAGACTCCCTAAGCTAAATGAGTCTCGAGAAAAAAATTTAAGCATTTAAAAGAACTTGATTATGATATTTTATATTATGGTTGTTTTCTTCCTTAGTTCAAAGATTTTGATGACCACGACATGTGTCAAAAAAACACTTAACCACAGACAACCTCATTTAATGAAGTTCACTTTTATATTCAACTAAAACTCATCTCACATATTAGCATCCATTGGTATCGCGATAGAAATAATAAAATAAAAGTTTAATTTTTGACTTTTTTCAATTTACATTGATCGAAGCAGGATTTGTGAATTCTTTTAGCCAATCAACTTGTCATTCAGCAGGGCATTGTCGGTCACACATGAGTAGAGAAAAGAAATCAAACCTGATTTTTCTACTAGAACAACAATAGCACTCAAGAGCCGCAATCAGTGCGAATTGATGTAGATACTGTCTATTCAGAGCTAGTATTCAGAGATAAAAGGAAACATGGCGGAAAAATGATCATGCTAAGATAAGGTACCATCTCATGGAGTTAAACAATCGCTTGTCATCATGACTTAATCTAGGAAAAATAGAGACCAATCAAAATCCAAAAAATTCTTCATTTAATCTTTTTTCAAGTAAACCACCATGATATTTTATCTAGATTATTTACCAGACTGTCTCGAAATGTTATGGTAAATGTGTAACAATGTCATGCTAAAATTGTGACAATGTTACGCATTTAATAACAATTTGGGACAGTCTTTTCTAAATTCGTTATTTCTCGAAGTTGTCTAAAAGAAGTGTCAGTGTGTAAAATCTTATTGTTGAAATGTAATAACATGATCTTGATCAACAAAAATAAGATCATTCTACAATAGTGTAGAGCAGTTTTACGGCTAGTTTATTTATAATCCAAGATATTTTTGCATTTCTTTTAATATTTCCAACAGCGATAGTTCCAGATTATAACATTAATTAAAAATAACGAATTAATTGAACAAGATAATTTTTGTTTTTATTAATGAAGTGCGCCCTCTATTCGACAATTTTTGTCATTTCTCTTTTTCTGAAAAGACTTAATCATTTGTGTAAACTAAATTAACACAAAATTTTTGTTTTTTTCAAACGCTGATGCATATTTTTGAAAATTTTCATAAATTAAATGAAAAACGCACAGCTGGAGGATCAAACTTTGTGGAAGCAAAATGGACATTGAAGTGTGCAAGTCGAAAGTAGTGCTAAAATTTCATGACTTCATTAACTCACCTGAATAGGTGAGAGAAGAGAGAAGAAAAGAAAATATTTGTTTTCAATTTCTTCACAATTATAACCTTTTTTTATAATCATACTTGTACGCGGAAGCACTTTATTAATCAAACTCGTCCAATAAAAAAAAAAATCTTTTTTTGTCGATTGCCCATGTGAGCTCTCATTAATAAAACATTTGCAGACCATAAGATGACATATTTTTGATATATTGTTTAGTCTGATAGAATAAAAGTGATCTAAAGAGATACGAATAGAGAATACGAGATGACTTAATTAAATTAAATGTCAAGGCTAGTTCTGAATTTTAAGTTAAATTTTTTCGATTCATTAGTTTTAAAATTGTGTGATTAGATAGATAAAGTTGTTGTTGAGCACAAGGTGTACAGAAAGTCGCCTTTATCCTAATAGTCATATCCTCTTGTATTTTTAGATTGACATTTAACTTTTTTGCAAAGATCTCAGTATGCCGGCTGCTTCGGATGAAGACGAAGAATTCGAAACATTTGAAAATGGCGGTGCAAGCAATGATTATAATATTGACTTTTTTGATGGTGTGTTGTTTTTTTTTTGATTGTTGTATATACACATTTGAAGTCATTGTTTTATACTTTTCTTTAGCTTCCGTGGCCGAACTTGCCGAACTATTGAAAGAAACTGAACAAGATGGTTTTGCCATTGGTTTACAAGATACATTATCTAAAATATTTGCTGATCAATCAATATTCAATTTAGCTTATGTAAATCGCACACAGTTGCTTAATTCTCTTCATCCATCAATGTAATATTTTTTTGTTATAGTGCCATGATATTTTATTACGTTTTGTTCAACAACCAGAAACGATGAAGCCAAAATCAAGTGATAATTTATCTCTGGTAACATCACTTATGAAAGATTTAGAAATTGTGGGCATGACAAATCAAGATGCACGAGAATTACAAATAATATTAAGAAATCCACACATGCGGGTATGATAAACGTATTGTTTATCAAAATTGAAAACAATGGTTTGTGTCTATTTTTCACTAAATAGGCCATAATGGATGCGCATCAAACAATAGCAACAAGAGAATACGCGGAAGAACAATTACCTATTGGATATTTACCGGAACCTGTTCCAGGTAAATCACAGTTTTCCTTTTATTCAATTGTACGTCAAGTTTTGTGACTCTTTTTGTCATCAGCAGTTCATAACTATTTTTCAATAAAGAATCTTAACCAGAAATATGTCTTTTTTCCTTTCAAAGATATATCAGCGCCTCCATTCGTCTATCCGGGTCTATCCGGGGTCTATGCTCCAAAAATGATCGGCATAGAGTCAACTGGTGAAGAACATTTGGTAAAATCTATTTTTAATTATGAATGATGTATCTATATTTTAGTTTCTTCTTAGGGTATCACGGTGAAATTAAATGAAGCTGGAGACTTAGAAATAAAACGTATTGTTCAAGGGGGATTAATTGATAAACAAGGTAATTCGGAATGTTAATTTACATTAAAATAACATTTTTTTACTGTAAAATTTGCATGATATGCTATTATCGCTATAAATTTTCTTGACAGCAATTAAAACATTTTTAGCTCATGTTTTAATTACTGTCAAAAAATGTTTTCATTTTTTCTAGCTCACTAAATTCTTTTCATTTTTTGTAGGACTTTTACATGTGGGAGATATTATTAAAGAAATGAATGGTGAAATTGTTCATACACCGGAAGAATTGCAAGAGAAACTGAGAAGTGCTAGAGGTGCTGTGACATTCAAAGTTGTGCCAAGTTATTATGATTTACCATCCCCATCTCAGGTATAAATGTAACTAAAATTTTATATTTGAATAAAAAATTTACTATTTATTTTTTAGCTTTATGTACGTGCACATTTTTCTTATGATCCCACTAAAGATAAACTCATACCAGCTAAAGAAGCAGGTTTACAATTTGACGAAGGAGATATATTACAAATATTAAGTCAAGAAGATGTACATTGGTGGCAGGTAACATTATTGTGTCTTACTTGTATACCAAAATCATATGAATAATATTTCTAGGCTCGTCATGTGAAAGATCCGAGTCAAAAAGGACTTATACCATCTCAGTATCTCGAAGAACGTCGCAAAGCATTTGTTCCACCTGAAAATGACTTTTCAAAAACATCACGTATGTATACTACGAATAATATCATCAATTCTATTCTATAATTTGAGCTATAGTTCAAGGTGTTTTGTCATCACAAACATAAAGTTAATCTAAATTTGAATGCTCAGTATAATACAGCAACTTGTCCTTTTCATTTTGCATTTCTGATACGCGACACTAGTAGATATTTTCTAATCACTGATTGACTTAGCAAATTAGCCATTAAAATGTGCGTAAATACATACAAACTATGTATTTTGAAAAGAATGGAGAAATATTTATGACAAAATTTCTCTTTTTGCTTTATTTTCATCTGTCAGCATTTAATTGACCGTGGTTTACATTCTAGTTGTGTGTGGTCTAATTGATCGTCGTAAAAAGAAACGGTATTTGTTCAACGTTAAAGACAGTTCCATCTTTGATAAAGGTGACATTCGCTTGTATCAAGAAGTAGCCAGAATGCCTCCGTTTCAACGAAAATGTCTCGTTTTAATTGGATGTCATGGAGTGGGTCGACGGACATTAAAAAGTAAATTATTGAGTTTAGATCCAGAACGATTTGGAACAACGAAACCACGTATGTCCTTGTTCGACTAAATTGTTTGATCATTGGAATAAAGTGTTCTTTTGGTTTTTCTCCTCTTCAGACACATCGAGACCAAGACGCGCTGATGAACCGAGTCATAATTATATATTTACAAATCGTGATGAGATGGAACAAGATATAGAGAATGGCGAATATTTAGAATCAGGAGAATATAGCGAACATCTGTATGGAACAAAATTTGATACTGTTCGAAGTGTAATTACATCTGGAAAAATGTGTATTTTAGATATTGAACCAACGGTAAATGAGAAATTTTGAAAATTAATTTCTAACAAACAATTTTTTTTATTTTTTATCTATATTTTAGGCATTAAAATTGATTAATGATAAAGAATTTATGCCTTATGTTGTATTTATCAAAGCACCTAATCTTGATTTTCTCAGATTTATGCAAAATGATAAACGACATACAAAAATGAAAACAGTATGTAGAAAAAGAAAGAGACAGAGTCAATGATAATTTAATCAATACTTTTTTCTTGTTTTGTTTAGAAAAGTAGTATGGGAAACAATTCGCTTATGAATCTCTCGGTATTTACTAATCTTCTGTTATTAATCATTTAATTTTCAATTTCTACATTATAGGCGAAAGATTTGGAACAAGTTGTACTTGAAAGTGATGCAATTGAACGTGATTATCATGCATTTTTTGATTTGGCAATTATTGCCGAAGATATGGATAAGGCATTTGAACAGTATGTATGATGTTTTTAGTCGTTTTTTTTTTCGAAAATGATCATACCAAAAATATTCATGTTTCTACTGCTGCTGTAAGGTAAGGTAGTTTACCAGATTGGCTTATTCGCAGTTGGTGCGATGATATATTTTAAGCATTAGTATTTATTTCAAGAAGGAAAAAGCAACACCTAGTGCCGATTATGGTGCTAAAAGGTGCCGTAAGGTACTGTTTAGCGATTACGTTTTCAGGCGGCCTACGAATAACGGCTTTTCCCTCCCTTGGTTTATTTTCTTACCGCTGTAAACAGAAGTAAAATTAAAGGTTGCATTATTTTATACATCTTGATGATCTCTATAAGTGATGTAAAACGTTTTGTACTACTTATCGTTTAAATATTACAACGTTTGTATGATAACCAAAATTGGAAGCTTTTTTTCAGTGGTCACTGAAGAATTATGATTTTCTCTAAATGTAGCCAATATTGATGAGAGTGTCCGATAGCGAATTTTTAGTCATAACACAGTTCTATTGAAATGACGGATCGAAATTTTAATCAAGCATCTGGTTGTTGATCTACAGATTAAAGTTAAAGTAATGTGATGGCGTACTATTCATTGCCTTCGATAAGTTTTTCTCAAATATACGCTGGAAAGAACAGTAATGGAAATGATAAATTTATTTCATTTACACATGTAATTATGATGCGTAAAAAAAAAGTTGAATGAGTGTGTTAACACTCATTAAACTGGCATTTATGAGAGGAAATGCTTTCCATACTAGTTTAAAAACGTAGTAGAGAGAGTGTCCTTTACTAAACGACATGAACATTTTGTCAAATAAATTTATCGAAATTTGAAGAGTACCTTTAATCGGACAAGCCCGGATCAAAATGTTCGATATGATAGTATCTTTGCAAGTAATATTCTCACAATAAAATTCATTAATAGAAACTTAATTGAATAATAAAAGTGAGGCATGTATAGGGTTGGGCGCGAGTCAAAATTTGGACTCGAGTCGCATTTTGTTCAAGACTCGGACTCGAAAACTGAGCAACGTTGACTCGTCTGTGTGACTCGAGTCATTCATCCAACAAGATTTTCATTTGCTCTTATAAAAAATTTACAATTTATAAGATTAAATTATCACTTCTTAATAACTTTTATCCTAATGGAATATATTGCATTAGAACAATTTTTTCAACAGCTTTTCTGCCTATGTATTCATATGGTCGTGAGAGATAAACTGTGTATATTACTTAATATATATGTTTTATCTCGTTCTGTTTTGTTTCGGTTCATTTCTGAAATGTCTACATGTATATAGTGTTATTCTCTAGGAAATGTTGTTGCTTTTATTGACTAATAGCTACATTGTCTTAGGCTACAACAATGTATTCGTTATATACACACATGTTTTGTTGTTAAAAATCCGCAACTATAAGGTTCATGATACCCGGGATATGGAAATATTTGAATGTCTGGATCAAAAACTAGGAACTGGATAATGTGTCATGAAACTTGTTGTTAATATTTTTTATCAAAATAAACAGAAAACGACTTGACTCGACTCGGAAAAACCGGTGACTTGGACTTGACTTGACTCGAAAAATGGCTGGATTCGTCCATCCCTGGGCATGTGTAAAAGTTGTTTACAGAATTTTTATGCAATTCATTGAAAATAAATACTTTTATTCTTTTTAGACTTGTTCGAGCTGTTGAATCGCTTAGTGCCGAACCACAATGGGTTCCTGTACAATGGTTTTCTTAACTGTTATTTACATGTCACCTCTTAATTGAACAAAATCAAATGCAATCTCACTACCGTCCGAAAGTATTTGAAATATTTTATATTGTGTTTTTTTACTTTAATCATGTTTGTCTATTCGTTTAATCATTCAAACATTTTCTTCTTTACTTTAATATGTAAATATTTTAGTGATTAATATCATTCCTCAGCATTTTATTTGTTTCTTTTTTGGTAACTATTTGGCTTTTTTTGTCATTCCGCACAATTGTTTGTTAAAAGAATGAATATTTTCGAATTATAAAGAACTGGTGTGAAATGTGCCTCATTTTTTTTGTTGCTTAAGAATTTTTCTTCTTCAAAAACATTCCTTTCCTGTGCAATTACTATTTTGTAGCATCTTTTGCTTCTTTTTCTGTTTTTTTGATATTATTTTGAAATTTATATTCGACTCTTCGAATTTTTTCTTAATTTGTATAAAATATTGACATGTAAGTTGGTCAAAATTTTATGTTTCGAGCTTAAGGTGTTTTTATTTTCGACAGAAATAATTACTCTATTATATACATATATTAAAATTCAAATAAAATTTTTTTATTAGTGATTGGAGAACGAACAACGGTAAAAGGAAACAATTTTTTAACCATTTGTCATAAATGAATCTTATAATTTACTAACTTTATTCCAATGATTTTCTTCCAGTGTGACAAGAAAGAACACTTGAAAGTACACAGAGATGGGCGAGTACGAATATATACTCCTACTTGAGTACAAAATTCCTAGTACTCGTACTCGGTCGGGGTATTCCAAAAAACACTCGAGTACTTCCCCAAAAACTAGTGACCTTTTTTTTACTATTTACGTATCAAAAAATCGATTTATTCGGAAATCTTTTCGGATTCAACGGCTTCTTCAGAAAAAAAAATACTCGAGTACTATCCGAGCACTTTTCAGAAAATACTCGTACTCCTACTCGTACTTAGAACCTATCGCTGAGACACTACAACTTCAAAGATCGTCCCAAGTTTTCGATGTTCCGAAACGGTCGTTGTAGCACTTGGCTGATGAAGTGCTAACATCTTAGTTTAATGTTAAGTTCATGTTAGTAATTACTAACAACTTTGATTTCTAGTTTATTCACCAGTTAAGATTCTGGTTAAGTAATCTTAATTTCTATAAATTTAAGAAGTTTGTCTTATTGATGTTTTGCCAGACTTTTTCTGTAATATTTTACAATTAAACATTTTTATTGGACTCTTTACAGATTTTTTAAGAGAATTAAATCAAGAAGCTTTTGCGAAAAGAATAAGGTCTAGTGGATCTAAGACATACGAGAACAATGGAAAATACTAATGGTATTATTATTTCTGCCGCATCCGTTAGATCTTTTGGATACATTTTACAGCATTGCAAAAAATGAGTAAAAGTCAATTTTTGACGTTCATCACATTTATACACAATTTTTAAGATCTTGAACTTGAACTTGAACTTTATTTACCAAAAATGGAAGGACATGAAAAAAATAGCTAAATAGCTAGTCAATAGAAGTATAATATAGCCCTATTGAATCCTGCCCTGCTTAACGCAAAATGCACGAATATCAAGATCGAACAAGTGCTGCTACTTCTAACCTTATGTTCACTTTTAATGTGATTTGAAAAAAAGTTGATCGTTTAATCTTGAATTAGTTGCTCCTGTCTTGTTTTATTCTAGATCCTTTACTGCTATGAATTTTTTAGAAAAAGTCTGTTAGAGATAATGTTTCAGGTTATCGCATTAACGAAATGCCCGACTTACGAGGGAACCTCCCCAGGTTACAAATCGCTTTCGGGCTAAAACCTAGTGGATTATAGGTTATCGACTATGCTGATTCCGAATATAACAATCATTTTGGCCGCTAAGTCTTCAGAGATCGGATTTTTGGAAAACCAGTTTTTCAAAACTCCTAAAAAATAATCAAAACCTTTGTTAATGATGCAGGATTGTAGCCCG